CAGCTCTACTGTGGTCATAGATGGTGCTATGAGATCTTACTAAGGACAGCTGATCTAATAAGGATTGCTAATGTTGAGATAAATTAATTGACATCTGAGAAAGAATAGAGTCAGTTAAGATGGAGGTATTAGAGTTTGCACCAAGGGAATCATCCTGTGAAAAGACTCTAAAGCAAGAGGCAGCAGGGGGCATTGGAGGAAATAGAGTGTGAAGAAATACTATTTAAGATTAGGCTGGAGATGTGGTCAGGGAAACGACCATACAGAGAGTTACAGGACAAGTTAAAGAATTTTAGTGTGTACTGACATCAACTGGCAATTATGGGATGGTTTAAAGGTGTGCATATGTGTATGACATGATTAGAGGAGCACAGAGTAGAGTAGAAATTCAAGTACCATGATGGACAAAGGAATGAGCAGGTCCCCTTGGGACAGCAGGAAGTAAATCTGGTTGGATGGTCATAAAATGAGAAGGTCATAAGTGATGTGAGACACAGCTGGGATGGTGCAGTATGGTTCAAGGCAAAAGGGACTAGACTAGAATCATACACTAAGCAGTGTAGATTCTATACTCAGGAACTTGAAGGGAATGAGCAGAAATTCATTCCAGAAAGATTAATTTAGATCAGCACTGTCCAATGGAGCTGTCCACAATGAAATAACTTTTCTATAATCTGTGATACCACAATACAGTAGTCACTAGACACGTGTAACTATGGAGCACATAAAATGTAGCTTGATCGACTGAGGAAATAAAGTTTTAACTTTTATTTAATCTTAGCACAGGTCTGGTCACAATAGAGAGTATGTATGTCTGTTGGTTGAAGGGAAGTGTTTGGAAGGTTGGAATGAGGAAAAGGAATGAGATGAGTTATGGATCTAGGTGAGATATGATTCCAGGGCAGATAAAGACAGAAAGAAATATAGAAGCATGCAATAAAAATTTTCAATTTTCCATGTGCATTATTTATATTCACAGTTAAATTTGGGTCTTTGGTCCATCCATTTTAAATTTATTTTTGTGTGTTAGGTACGGTATAGATCTAATTTCAGAAAGTAATTTCCCCAAATGAAAATGCAACCAACTATTCTACTTGCTAATGGTCAAATGAACCTCAAGGAATTATGCCTCAGATTCAAAAGTTTAACAAAAAAGACTAAAGGTAGATATAATGCATTGTCTCAGCATAGCTCTCTATCTAAGTTGTAGTCAGATAGAAAATACTTTTGTTCCCATTTAATCCATTTAATTTATAATTAGTTGTGTAATTCCTTTGGTGCTAACCGCCACATTACCTAAATAAGTGTTCTAGGTATAGCAGAGATTAAAAATATTTGTTGACTTAAATAAAGATGAGACTAGAGAAAGGAATGTAAAAAAGAGTACAATAGTAATTATGTCTTCAAAGTTAACCTGGTGGAATAAAATATACTCTATTCACTATAGTTATTCAGAGGAAGAATCATGAGAGAGTAACAAAATAAAGTCTTTATTATTATCTTGACAAAGTGATTAGGATGTTTAGAGATAATATATGCACATCATTCAGCCCAGTGTCTGCACATAGTAGGGCTACATTACTGGTAACGAGAAAGTATTTAGTTTTTTCTGATTTTAGATGTTCAATGGAGGGGCATATTTCTTTATCATGGAATCTTCAAGTTTTTTTAAAATATATTTTTCTTGATTTCAGAGAGGAAGAAGAGGGAGGGAGAGAGAGATAGAAACATCCATGAGAGAGAATCATGGATCGGCTCCCTCCTGCAAGTCCCCCACTGGGGATCAAGCCCACAACCCAGGCATGTGCCCTTGACTGGAATCAAACCTGGGACCTTTCAGTTCGCAGGACAATGCTCTGAGCCAAACAGGCTAGGGCGGAATCTTCAAGTTTTTAAGAGATAGTTTCATGTATGAAATAGAGCCTAAATGCTCTAGTAAATTTGAATTTTAAAACTTTCATATGGTTTATTTCACTCCAAAGAAATAATAACTGGAGTTCACTGTTCACTGATGTTGACAGTCTCTTCCTGAGACTAGATATAAGAAGCTTATAAAAAATAACGAATAGACATTAATGGATGTTTTTCAAATCCTATGGCTTCTCTCCTCAGTCATAGCTTGCACATTATAACCTAACTTGGGACAAAAGCAGGGAACACACTAATTTATAATATGCTATGACTTTAAATATTTATGTTAGAATAATTCAATAGAAAGAATAAATTTGTAGTGGCTGAAACTATCACCTTCTACTGGGTTGACACGGAACCCTTTGACTTGGTGAATCACTAAGGCAGCACCCTCAGGGGATTTGATTTCATAGGCTCCTGGGCCCAAGAGTTTTTTAAAATATAAAAAGTGATAAGGCCTTAGAGATAAGACAGGCATCAGGCTATCACTGGGAAGCTGCTTTCTTTTTAAATGGCCAGTTCCCAAATTTGAATCTGTACTCTAGTGGTAAAAAAAGCTTTGGATTTGCTGGTAAAGATGAAAGATGCTCAGAAACTATTATCTTAAAATAGAAATCGATGGATTAAAAAGCTATGGAAGTTTAGAAGCTGGCCAAAAGGGAAGAGGAGAATTGAATTGAGATAATTATCTTGTTATTTGAGGAAAAATTAAAGTTCACCTTTCAGAGAGTCAGAACATTAATGCCAAAGTGTAGATTCTCTTTCATGATAAGGAGTAAAAAGAAGTTACTAAAATTGTCCAGATTTATTTAAAATAGTATAACTTGTAAAGTGTCATTTAACACACTTAAAATATGCAGAAAAAACTCTCAAGGACTTGGAAAATACTCTTTCTCAAGGGGAGAAAAAGTATCTCCTGAATATTATTATTTTAAAAGAAACCTATTTTTTTTTCCATCTTGCATTTGCCTCTGGTATTCAGATAAAAGAAACAGAGTGGGGAAAAGATAGCCATTAGTCGGGATCATCTCAAATTAAAAGTCTTTAATCCTCAATCATAGCCTGTGTATATTATATTCTAAATAAGAAATTTGTACCTTTGCCCCTTTGCCCTAGCTGGTTTGGCTCAGTGGATAGAGCTTCAGCCTGTGGGCTGAAGTTGTCAGGTTCAATTCCAGTAAAGGGCACATTCCTTGGTTGCAGGCTTGATCTCTGGCCCTGGTTGGGGTACATGCAGGAGGCAACCAGTCGATGTGTCTCTCTCACATCCATGTTTCTCTCTCTATCTCTCCCCGCCCCCCGCCACTTCCACTCTGTCTAAAAAAAAAAAAAAATCAATGGATAAATATCCTCAGGTGAGGATTTAAAAAGAATGATAAAATAAATAAATTTGTACTTTCAAATTTTAAGAGGTAATCACTAAATAATTGCTACTTATTGATCTATGAGAGGAAACTGATGTTCCAATGGGAGCCAAATTCCCCAGTGTCCAGGTCATTGTCACTGCCTTCACCAGGCCTGACTCAGACAAGTAATAGTACATTAATCCACCAAAGGCAGGGTTAGCAGCTACTCATAACTCCACTTCGAAAGGGAGAGTCTTTACTTCCTTGACAAGGAGCCAAAGAGGGCTTTCTGTCTCAGCAGCTTGGAAGGGTGTGGCTTTAAGCTTGAGAGTGGGAGGAGGAACTGGGCTGAGCAGTAATATCTCATCCTGCTAAATCAGTCTTGTCTGCATGAGGCTTCTACAGTACCTTATTTTCAAGTCAGATCTAAATCAGCCAAGTAAGTAGGGAAACATGGGCATGAAGCCAAATAATTAAAATGAAACACATAATTTGGATTTCATTCTCCCTGCATTTTAGGACAAATTATAATTTGGTAAAGAGAAAAGAAGCAATATTTGAAAATCAGTCTCTTATGTGTTCATCTCCCATTGCAAGAGCAGATATAGTCTTTAAAACTGATGTTCTCTAAGAATATAAAGAAAACATAAATCTGTGATAACTGGGATATATCCCCATAGTACATTTTCTAAACTTAAAAATCAAAATTCCCTAAAATTTCATTTGAACCATGCAAAATGAAGGGCATGGACTTTTAAAAGCAATGCATGACTCTTGATTGTAAAAAATCAGAGACCTCAAATTGTGTCCATTAAATTGTTCTCATGTATAGCTATATGGTTATTCCTTGATTCCTTTATGACTCTATTCTGGATTATTTACATAAACTCCTTTTTTTAACCCAAATCTTCAAAAATACAGCCTCTTGATATTTTGTTTTTTGCTTTATGCTTACATTTTTAAGTGTGTTCAATTATTTGGTCGTTTATTCAACAAATGTTATGAAATACCTATTTAGAATCAAGCAGGATGCCAATTACTAGTAGTGTAATGATGGGCTAAAATAGGCACTTTTTGGACTCATGCAGATAAAGTCTAACAGTGGAGACAAGCATTACAAAAACAACCACACAAAATAAATGAGAAATTGCCAACTGAAGTAACTGCTATGAAGCAAAACCATATTATTTAATGAAAATATGGAAAAAATGTCTCAGCATAGGAATTTCATTGTAAACTAGTAATTTACTACTTTTAAGCACGAGCATATTACCCTCTGGTTGTATGAAAATAGGTCCTGAGAACAAGAGAAAATTGTTACAAATCTTAGGATTCATTTTAGGCAAGTGAGACAGTATAAAATCTCTGTTCCATCTCTCCCCACCAAACAAACATACAAACAAACAAACAAACAAAAACTATGTATATTGTGTGTGTTAAGTAGGCAGAAAAGGCACCATCAAAAATCACCTGAAAGAAGAAAATATGATGAATATGCTCAAAAATGCTTCCTTCTTTTTAGTAGTCACATTGCTTCTAGAAGGATCAGACTTCAGTTTCATTTGGATTTTGCTTTTGCTTTTTTTTTTAAATTTTAGCCTAAGTTGGTAGAAGATGGTTTTCAACATACCCTTGTATGGAACTCTCATTTTAAATGTGAGAGATTTGAATATATGCTCATTTTTAAATGCTTTTCAGTTTTTGATAAGGGGTTGCATGGTGCTATCTGTGGTCTGTTCCCAGGAGATTATGTGGTCATGTGTGTCTACTTTGACCTGAGCAGAAGAATGGGATACTTCACCATCCAGACCTACATCCCCTGCACACTCATTGTTGTTCTATCCTGGGTGTCTTTCTGGATCAATAAGGATGCTGTGCCAGCCAGAACTTCTCTAGGTAAGACACAGTTCTTGGTGTTATAGCACTTATCCAAGGTAAGTAGTACCCCAAACGAGTAATCTTTATTCCCCTTTCCAAATTGATTTGCTTTTAATCCATTCAGCAATTACATAGAAATGCTCTTTGTTTCATTTTAAAGAAAACTAGTATATTAAAAAGGAAAAACAATGTTTAAAGTTTCCTAATTCTGTTTTTCTTAACAAACTTAATATGCTTTTTTTCCCCAGTAAATTATCTTAATAAATTTAAGTTAGCTTAAAAAAAAAACCCTTCTAATTTCAACAGACTTTTTGTGTTGGTCTCTGGGCAGTTCTGTATGCTGGAGCTACTCACACCAGCTCATGAGAGCTCATCATTTGTCCTTTCCCAATAGTGTGTCTAGCGATGTCACATTGGCAGCTTGACATCAGCCAAGGTGAAAGTAATAATACCATCGAAATAGGCAAACACTAAAAATCAAAGCATTCATTTTTTCTAGAGTAATTTGTTACACCTTTACCAGAACAACATAGGCTGTTAATTAATTCCAACATGCATAATCATGATGACATTAGAGGACATACATACATGTTAATTGGCTACTTACGAGCCAATAGGAAGATTATTTTTGGTAGGACACAATTACCTGTGAAATTTTGAGAATCCATCTCCCCACTTTCAAGATTATTTACAGTTGCTCAATCTATTGTATAATGGTGATATTTGTCTCAGGTTTTCACATATTTTTTTCTCACATGAGGAAGAAGGTGCACAGAGATTATAAGAAAGCCACAGAATCACAGGGACATTGGAGTCTAGGTCCATGAATAAAAATTTTATACAACGTAAAATTCCCTAAAGACTTAACTAAGAATAAAGCTATTGAAAGATGAATTATTAAACCATAATCCCTTTCATCAGCTATGAGAAAATTAGAACCACATCTCTTTCTCAGTCTTTTCTAGGGAGGCAGAATCATGCAATAGTTAAGAGCTGGGGCTTTGAAATCTAACCAATCTGAATTGCAACTCACAATTATAGTATGGACTTAGAAATATCCTTTAATCTCTATTAATTACAGTTTCCTCACATATAAAACATGTATCATTTCCTTTACCTAACTTATAGGGTTTTATTAGGTTAAATAAGTTATTCCATGCAAAGAATACAAACCATAGTAAGACCAAGGAATGTTGGCAATTGTGGTCATTTTCTGAAGAAATGATCTGTCCCAGGCTACTAAACCTGAGGGCAGAGTGATTACTGGGGAAATTTTTTAAAAATATATCATTTGCATATTTGTGCTCTGCCAAATCTTATTTAGTCTCCCAACTGTTTCAAAATAAAGTTATTTTGATTTTTCCCGTTATATGTGGTACTTTTGTTATAAGTACTATTCAACAATACAGTGTCTAATGCTACATGCTAAAACAAACCCGAAATAGTGTGAGCCTATTACTTTAGGATGATTAACTGTCACTGGGAGTAGAATGTGTTGTATAACATACTATGTCTGTCTCTCACATCAGCATGCAAATATCTTTTATTCCCAGTATAGTGTGTGGCACATAGCATGACTATTTGAGTAATGTATGTACACTTATGAATAAACTAGAGGCCCGGTGCATGAATTCATGCATGGGTGGGGTCCCTCTGGGTGGCCTGCAGGGATCGGGCCGAAACCTGCAGTCCAACGCCACCTGCAGCTCCTACCTGTTGCTCTCGCTCATCCTGGTCCCACTGTGCCTGCTACTGGCTTGTACCCAATCAGTCCTGACCAGGAGAGGCTTGCGCTGTTTCTGGTGCCCTCCCAAGGGGAGTGGCCTGCTGGATCAGGCTGAAATTGGCTCTCCAACATCCCCTGAGCAGTCCCGTATTGCGAGAGGGTGCAGGCCAGACTGAAGGACCCCACTGGTGCATGATCAGGCCAGGGAGGGACCACAGGAGGGCTTCAGGGCATGTCTGGCCCATCTTGCTCAGTCCCTATCGGCCGGACCCCAGCAGCAAGCTAACCTACTGGTCAGAGCAACTGCCCCCTGGTGGAGAGCACATGTCATAGGGAGTGGTTGAGCAGTCTTAGCATATCATTAGCATATTACACTTTGATTGGTTGTTCAGTTGTTCTGCAGTTTGGTCTATTTCAGTGATGGCGAACCTTGTGAGCTCGGTGTGTCAGCATTTTGAAAAACCCTAACTTAACTCTGGTGCCGTGTCACATATAGAAATTTTTTGATATTTGCAACCATAGTAAAACAAATACTAGATGCCGAGGTCCAACCCCAGCAGGTCCAGGGGTCCCCAAAGGTGTGGATGGAGTCGGCGAAGAAGGAATGACACAGAGACAGCGTTCAGTTGATCAGCAGCCTAGCCAGGATCTCCAGCCAGGATCTCCAGCCAAGTTCTGGTCTGTATCTCCAGAGAGGTTCTGCTTAGGATCTCCTGCCAGGGTCTGCGTCCATGTTCTCTTGCTAGGTTCTCCAGGTTCTCCAGCCAGGTTCTCCAGCCAGGTTCTGTCCAGGTTCTCCAGCCAGGTTCAGTCACCAGGTTCTAGTCAGGTTCTCTTGCCCATTTCTGTAGTCAGGTTCAGTCCAGGATCTTTTGCCATGTTCTCTCTAGCGAAGTTCTTCTGTCTCTAGTTCTGTGTAGGTTCTGTCTTCTTAGTTCTGTGTTCTAAGCTCTGTCTTCTAAGTTCGGAGTCTTGCTGTCTTGTTACATCTGTATTTATACCAGTTGATTCAATCCTATCAATCTCTATTACAAAGGTTAGGGCGTTTCTTATCTCCATTCCAGGGAGTAAAGATTATGTAGCTTAAGCATGATTGTTCGTAGTTAAAGTGATTAATTACCCGCCTGGCACTTAGTTAAGAGGTTTTATTCCCTCCCTAACTTCAGGGGAAAATCCCTACCTGGGGAAACAACCTTTCTCAGAGACCTTGGTTAAAACACATAGTGCCAAGAAGGTGAGCAAACATATTAAAAACAGTATGCCATATATGCCAGGTCCCTTGAAACAGCAAGCATGGACCAGCTCCCGGCAATTTTATATATTTAAATGCCATTTAACAAAGAAAAATCAACCAAAAAAATGAGTTCACATGTCACCTCTGACACGCGTGTCATAGGTTCGCCATCACTGATCTATTTGCATATTACCCTTTTATTATATAGGATGGAACAAATAGCTTGTTGCATTCCAATCTATCCATCCCATAAATATTTCAAGGAAAAGATTTCAAATCAATTTCCTCTCTTGAAGTCCACACTTCTGGTGATTAAAATCCCTCTTATGGCCACTCTGTTAGCTCATTTAACCACTCATTAAATGAGTGCTCACCAGCAAAAGACCATGGTGGGAGAAGGGAGCAAGGTGAGTGAGCTAAGGAATGAGGGAGAGACCCCTGAGCAAAAAGCAGGTCACTGACTACAAGTTGATCATTGAGGACAAATCAGGCATATTCAATATGGTCCCTGTGCCTGTTCTACTCTTCACAACTAAAGCATGTAAAAGTCATTGTAATGATTACAAAATTATCACATTTTTTAGAGCTAAGGAAGCAGAGACACTACGAGGTTAAATGGCATTTAAGAGACAACCAATATTTGTGGACATAGTCTATGATTCTAATTGTACTTTCTTTCCCATTACTGAGGTTGCTTATTAGAAGCCACAGAACAGGTTTAGCTTCCATCGTGGCTGAGTCACCCAACTCGCTGATGTGGTCACATGACCTTTTCTACTGTGCCTCTCTTCAGGTATCACAACTGTCCTGACAATGACAACCCTCAGCACCATCGCCCGGAAGTCACTGCCCAAGGTCTCCTATGTCACAGCAATGGATCTCTTTGTATCTGTCTGCTTCATATTTGTCTTCTCTGCTTTGGTGGAGTATGGCACCCTACATTATTTTGTCAGCAATCGGAAACCAAGCAAGGACAAAGACAAAAAGAAGAAAAACCCTGTATGTATCATTTCCCACTGGGACTACTGAAATTTTTATGCAGAAAGACCACCTGGTTTGGTTTTGGTTTTGTCTCATTTAGTCTATCTGCAGGTTATGCCTCAACACTTTGGGCTCCAAGGTGACAACTGAATGTGTGACTTTGACTGGGACATAAGGATTCATTATGGTTATTAGTTAAGAGAGACCTGATTCACTAAGGCAGACTCTTGCTCTCTTCAAATCATGGGGACTATAACCATTGCTGAGAGATGCATGTCTCTCTCATTGCTATTATTCCAGCTTTCATTGATTTTCATCTTTCTGCCCCTTACTATAATATTTTCAAATTACTGATATTTTAAATTAAAATTTTCTCTCCAAAGCTTTCTACCAAGAAGGCATAAGAATCTTTAAATTTAAATTTCAAATTGGAGTCTACACTTTTGCAACTAATGTCTGTGTGTGTGTGTGTGTGTGTGTGTGTGTTGCCACCAGAGGACTTCTATTGGTTTCATACTCTGTGTACCTTCTTATTTTAAAAGAAATGTCTCATCTATTGTTTGGACAAGTTATTTAGCCTTCCTATGTTTTTATATTGTCATATGTAACAGAATATTATAAAATATGTTATAGGGCTGCTGTGAGAAATAAATGTGGTAACAGAGGTAAAAAGCATTACATAGTACCTTACACATTAAAGTTCTTATCGTTTACTAGTTGACAATGATGGTTGATGTGGATAATTATATAAGTACTAACCTGGATTGATTTCAGTGATTTGGAAACAGAGAGAATGACTTCACCTTGCCACCAAACTTTAAATAGAGATGATGACGCACAAGCTTGAATGCCGAATGCAATTGGCTTTTATTATTAATGTTGAAGAGAGCATATAGCTGCCCATTTACCCACCTAAACACAATGTCTGGCTCAGAGGAGGCCCCATGGAAGTTCAAATCCATTCCCTTCCAAGGCAGGGGCCAAGGAATTCACCCCATTGAATAGCCTTTCCTGATCTTCTGCTCTAAAAGCCTTGAGAGATAGGATAGTGGCTAACTGTCTGACCCGTGGACTTCAGGAGACTAAACTATAGTGAGGAAGTCCGGCTGATTCTAGGTTGTATCTGGACGCATCTCCAAGAACACCAGTGAGATTCTCTACATGGTAAATGTTTATTTGAATGTAAGAATTTATAACAGGTAAAGAAAGAAGCATCATTTTTTTATGATTAATAAAAAATTTAATCCCAAATACTCATTATATTTTATGCAGTCCTCTTCCCTGTCTGTTCTGCCTCTCTTTGCCTTCACATCTTCTTTCTCCTTATTTTCATTTCCTAATTGTGTTTTTGTTTTCTCCCTCTCCTTCACTTTCCATCTCATCCCTCCCCTCCCCCTGCAAGAAGATGGTTCTACTGATACTTAGCATTATTACCTGCCAGCAATTACAAGGCACAAGAAGACTGGCTTTCAAACAAATCTGAAGAGTTCTCTCTCTCTCTCTCTTTCTCTCTCTCTTTCTTTCTCTCTCTCTCTCTCTCTCTCTCTCTCTCTCTCTCTCTCTCTCTCTCTCTCCTTCCTTCCCTTCCTCCTCCCCTCTCTCTCTTTTTCTGAGTCCTTGGGAAAAAGCCCTTTGCTCCTCTCTAACAGGTAGGTCATTGCAGAGTGCATTTTGTTTCAGAAATAGAAACATGTGGATTCCTTAATCCAGGGTCATGAAGATGACAGAAGAAAACAAGGCAGAAGATAAAGAAGATGAAAGAAACTGAGAAAATGAAGTTACCTGAGAATTTCATGCATTTCCCCCTTTTAAGTCAATTAGATGCTTTATCAGAACAGGCAAGAACCTAAGGAGTGAAAGAGAGGCTGAATTTAATTTGCCCATTTAATATGTGCTTTGATTCATTATGTTGGGATTCACTTACTAAGACCTTCTTAGTGATAATTAGAAAATAAAATAATAGAAAGATTCCTCACAAATGAACAACCCTGGCTTTTGTAGTTAGATAATTGTGGGTTAATTTATGGAAGATTTCACTAGCAGTCACCAAATTCTCTTTTTCAACATTAGGCATATACTTTGTTCCATGTTCAAAATTGTCCTTCTGTGTTTATAATTTTAGTTTATTTCACCTACTATGTTTTCAAAATGCATTTTTAATTTATCTTATTTTGTCTCTTTTTTCTTTTCTTTTTCTTCCTCTTCTTTTAATGAAATGAAATGCATTCTCTTTTCTGTCTACAAACCCAAAGCTTCTTCGGATGTTTTCCTTCAAGGTATAATGTTTTTGGAATGGAAATTCACTGCATGCAACGGCTGAATTTAAGTATTAACGCTTACATGGTGTTTGTTTGTTTTTTATGAATAGACATTTAAGCATTCTACTAAAGATAAAACATTTCAAATGAGAAAGTTCTGTTTTTTTTCTAGAGTTGATTCAGCAACCCTATGCTAATTCACAGAGGTTTTGACCTTACATGAAGCTAAAAAGCTATAAGCACTAAGAGATGTCATTAGTAAAGAGGGCTTCTTTAAACATCAAAGCCAAAACTTACCCTTTCTTCGCAGATGAAAATGAAATCCAATGTCACTGCCTGCATCTGCCATATGCCACATATAACCTATGTGCCCTTAAATTTTAGTTCTGTAAATCCTAATGCAAAAAATAATCTCCTGTGGCCTAAGCTTTATCTGTCAGTTCTGTAAAAATAATACTCTCTTTAAAATGCTTTAGTTAAAACACCCATCCCTTCCTTCTAGGGTGATCCAGGAGCCTTTTGGCTCTGTCTTGCAATATTATAAGACTAGAGGTCCGGTGCATGAAATTCATGCGGGTGGGGGGGGACCCCCTCAGCCCAGCCTGCACCCTCTCCAATCTAGGACCCCTCAGGGGATGTCTGACTGCCGGTTTAGGTCTGATCCCGGGGATCAGGCCTAAATCAGCAGTCGGACATCCCTCTCACAATCCTGGACTGCTGGCTCATAATCGCTCACCTGCCTGCCTGCCTGGTCATCCCTTAATGCTCCCCCCACCAGCCTAGTCACCCCTCACGGCCCCTCCTGCCAACCTAATCGCCCCCAACTGCCCCCCCTGCCAGCCTGGTCACTCCCAACCGCACCCCCCCTCCCCCCCCCGAGAGCCTAGTCTCCCCTAACTGTCCTCCCCGCCAGCTTGGCTGCCTCTTACTGCCATCCCTGCAGGCCTGGTTGCCCCCAACTTCCCCCCCTCTTTCGGCCTGGTAGCCCCGCACAGCCCCCCCCTCCCCCCCCTGCAGGCCTGGTCGCCCCACACAGCCTTCTGTTCAGTCATTTGGTTGTCCCTCACTAACCCTCCTGCCAGCTTGGTCGCCCCATGCAGCCTGCTGTTCAGTCGTTTGGTCATCCTCACTAACCTCCCTGCTGGCCTGGTTGCCCCACACAGCCTGCTTGTTCAGTCGTTTGGTTGTCCCTCACTAACCCCCCTGCCAGCATGGTCGCAGGCAGCAATCTTGTGAGGGCGTGAGGATTAATTTGCATATTACCTCTTTATTATATAGTATTAGTATTCCCAGTTGAATTCTGACAGCTGATTCGGAGACACTGGGATTTGTATTTATATTATTGTAAAACTAAGTCAGCCAAATTAACATCAAATAGACCACTGAGTCTTAAAGCAATTTTATAATTCATCCCAAAGCAAACGTTAGATTAGCATTCAGTTGATTAGTACTAATTTCTTCTCAAATGCTAAGTAATGTTTGACAGGCAGTAGCATATTTTTCTGAATCTCACTCACAAGTAGGTAAACCTTGCTGACATTCTGAAGCTTCTAGATGGTGAATATTACACAAAGTACCATATTCTTCTAAAACATAAGCCATAATCTTATGGTATAAACTCAGGAAACTTCTATATTACACATATTTTTAACATTTTATATTAAAAGCATATAAAAATTTGCCCAGTCTAATGGGGTTTACTATTTGCTGATAGGTAAGCATGACACAAAATTTGATTTCAAAATTGATACATTTTTTATTTCTCTGTTCTACTCACATGCAAAACCATTAAATGCCTTCATGTAATCCAGCTCGCATCTAATATTTACTAGAATAAGATTCCATGTAGTTGTTTGATTTTAACTCTTTAAACTTTGCGTTCTTTTGGTGTTAATCTCCTTGCTCTAGCTATTAGCTTGATGGTATTATTTTCAGCTGCACTGCTTAAACTCAAAATTCAAAATCTGCAAATGTGCTATCCTTCTGAGTTCAATTTCACCATTGTAGATCACGATGTCATAGCAATTTCCCGAGTACTCATTTTCAGATTCATCATTCACATTGGTAACATTGTGGAGAAATAGCCCAAGATTTATCAAGTGGAATTAACTCTGATCTCTCTTTGTCCCTCCCCTTGTCTCAGGCCCCTACTATTGATATTCGCCCAAGATCAGCAACCATTCAAATGAACAATGCCACGCACCTTCAAGAGAGAGATGAAGAATATGGGTATGAGTGTCTGGACGGCAAGGACTGTGCCAGCTTTTTCTGCTGTTTTGAAGATTGCCGAACAGGAGCTTGGAGACACGGGAGGATACATATCCGTATTGCCAAAATGGACTCATATGCGCGGATCTTCTTCCCCACGGCCTTCTGCTTGTTCAACTTGGTTTATTGGGTCTCCTACCTCTACCTGTAAAGAGGTAGGAGTCTTATTGTTATAAGGGTCTTATTTACTAAATCTCATGGAGAGATGTCCTTTCTAAGTCCACTTAAATAATCCTCTGTGCAGTTTATAATGATCTGAATTTGTTTCTTTGTTCTAACCTGGTAAATTGTATTAATGTCATACTGTTTGCACCCAACTCGCCTTTGATAAGTGTAATTTAAGCTATAATGTTTCTGTGTTGCAAACCTGCAGGGCAAGTTGAAATTAGAGCAAGAACATTGAAACCAAACAAGATATTTCCAGCTACAGAACTGAAATAGTAAAAGCAATGATTATTTGCAGTGGTGGTGTCCTCATTCCATTCAAAATACAGTTAGATGCAAAATATCCCAAACTGTTCCCTAAGATCATCTGGGGTCAAATTGTAGTAAATTGATCCCAACAGAACATCTCCCTCATTTGAGACAAATCACAACTCATTTTAAATATAAGAACCTAGACAAGAAACCTATTATACCTCGATCCCAAGATAGAAAGAAAATTTCCTTCACATCACATGTACAATGATGTAAATATTTCAATAACATAGAATGCTTCAAGTTTAATGCATGCATCTCTTTAGAGCCAAAATAAATGGACTGAAGTTAACATCATAAAGCATTGTCTTTTACTCTTTGTGTCTTTGGGCTATAAAAGAATCATGAATGCAATTATAAGGATTTGGGATTGGAATTGGAGGGGAAATTTTTCACTATCTTTTCCCTCATGCATAAAGATTGAAATAGCTTATGCTTCCTCGTATGACATATTAAACACTCTAAGTAAAATATAGACTGAATATTAGACATTTTCCACCTCTAAATATGCCCAATTTCATAGAGTAGAAAGTGATTGTATGTGCTTGCTGCTATTTTTACTTCCTTTTAGGACTATAGATCTTAACAGAACTTACTCTGCATCTCAAGATCTGCTTGTAGTGATTGTGAGTGCCTCGGAGACAGTGTCCTTTTCATGTCCTCTTTGGGTCCTCAGCACCTTGCATAGTGCCTGGCACACAGCTGGTGCTCAACAAGTATGGTTTGGAGTGAACTGGCCCCATATGATGCCAGTGCATCTCCCTGTGCTGGCCTGGAACCAGTGACTCTTCTTTTCATGTTGGCACTGTCAAGTGATATTTGACTTTGTAGAGAAAAACAGAAGGATCCAAAGAACTAAGGCTATTTATATTCATTTTCAAAAATTTATTTTAGCTAATGTCTATATTCCTTTAAAACAATACTTACGTCTGCTATTTGTATACAAAAATGACTCTGCTAGGGAATAATTAAAAGTTCTATATTATTTCTTCATGTTTAGGAGTGAGTCAACCTTGACCCATGACAATTGTCCTTAAGGACACATGACAGGTATTATCAATACTCATACCTGACTAGTATTTAGAATATAGTATTCTATGTGTAAAATATTTAATGTACTGAAGATTAAATTTAAAAAAATGAAATAACAAATGAATGACTTACAAGGAGGCTGAGCCTATGCAATCATTCAAGTAGATTGTAATCACATAAAGTGGTTGTCCCAGACTTCAAAACATCATGAACAGAGCTCCATCTTTGTGTATTCATTCTGAATCCTTATTTTTCTATGTTAGCATCCTTTGTCAGTTCTTCTTTTCGGCAATCATTGCTCTAAGTCAGAATTCAATCATAGCTCGTAAAGCTTTATAGATAACCTAAAAAAGAGTAGAAAAAAGAGACAGTGACTTTGTTAATATAAATCCATGTAAAGTCATCATCAAGTCATCTGGATGAATCTTGAAACACATTTAGCTGCCAATTTTACAAACATTTAATATACCAGTGCTCTAGTATATAACCTCAAACATATGTAAATAGAATCTATTATTTTCTTGTTTTGGATTGTTAACATATTAAATATTGACTCCTTGGGAGAATTGTTGGCAAATTTTCAATGGTGAGACACGTTATTAATGTCAACTTGAAATGTATTCCATAATGGGGATACTCAGAAAAGCTGGCTTTCCAATGTGTGCATAGAATTGGCAATATGAATATATATTATACATACCCTAAATCTTAATTATCAGCTGCTCCCTGTCTCTGTATTTGAAAACCTTTTCGCAAAGGCAATTGCCTAATATGTGGACTTTTACAATAAAAATGCTGCATTCTCATCCATGGTGGCATCCCAGTGGTCTGGTTGGACGTGTATATCTTAAAGATTGTGACCATTTCTTCCTGGCTCATTCCCCAACACTGCCTTCCCTTTCTGTGAGATTCATGTGTGAGCAGTGTGATCATCTTTTGCATCATGATGCCCCTCACTTCACAAGAATTAAGAGATGCATTTGGGGTATGGCGTGGAGACAGAAGGTAGAAAGGTCATGATGTAATAAAGCTCAGGCCTTCTGTACCTCAAAACTTGTGGTGTGGTTAAGAATATGGACACAATGTCAGACATAGTTGGGGTCCCAACCCTACATCTTTAAAAATATATTTTATGAATTTTGCAGAGAGGAAGGGAGAGGATAGAGAGTTAGAAACATCCATGAGAGAGAAACATCGGCCAGTTGCCTCCTTCACAACCCCTATTGGCGATCGAGCCCGCCCGCAACCAAGGTACATGCCGTTGATCAGAATCAAACCTGGGACCCTTCTATCCATGAGCTGACACTCTATCCACTAAGCCAAACCGATTAGGGCCTAACTCTACATTTACTAGTTATTTGACAATTCTCAATTTAGCCTTAATGAGGCTCCGTTTTATCTGCTATAAATTAGGTACAATAATGCCAACCAATGTAGTGTCACTCAACAAATGGGGCAAAAGTCCCTTCCCTCACTTCTAGTGCCTATAGTGCTCAGCTAACCATGCACCCTGTTGGCTCAGCTCTCCTAAAGGAACCCCCCAGCCTTAATGTGACTCTATGTCACAATGTTTGATCTTTAAAGAGTATACATTGCAAACATTCTTTAAAATCTAGGTTGAAAATCTAAGTCTACTGTTGAAAAAAAACTCACACATTAGATTAGTATTTTTAAGGTCAAAGAGCCTTTCTCTGTATCCCTGAAACATAAAAACATAGGGAGCTATCTCCAGAACCCCATTTTCTTGAAGTCCTTTGAAATTTTCAAACGAAAGTAGCATATTTTTTTTACAAACACAGCTGCTCTAACCTTCCTCTGCCTGTCATTATCTTGGCCCCTCATGGCTTCCTGCATCCAATTTAAACATCTATTTCTCACCTCTCAGAAGTGTAAAGAAAAAGTTTTTACCTAGGTCTTGTCTGTTCTCTAGCTAATGCCCTTATCTTTAGCTGAGTGGATATTCATGGTATGGCCTTTACACACACACACACACACACACACACACACACACACACATACACACACACAGTTTTAAAGTAGCAATATTATTCTGACAAGTAGCAACAAGTTTTATGTAGTGAAGATCAAAGTACATTAACCAAATGAAGTGGCCTTTAGGGATTTTGTCAAAAATTGCTCTCTCTATGCTTTGTCACTATGGGTTTTTGTCAAACATGTAGGAGAAATGGAGACTGACCTCGGCCAAGAGCTCTGCTATATTTTTTTAGTACACATTGAGTTTCCAAAGGTCACACAACCAGTAAATGGCAAACATGGAAAAGCCACCTGGGCATTGCTCTTTCTATTGAACCTCATAATGTCTCAGGATTGGGAAGTAAAATTTTGAAACACTTTATCCTTCTATCTTTAGGATTTGCCAAACTTGAAGATGGCTTCTTTCTCTGATCTTGACCTCACTTTAATTATTTTAATTTCTCTAACACCAATTTTAAAATACCTAGCAACAGAAATACTAGTAAGTTAATAGATTTTGCATTTCATTTCTTCTCTAATATAATAACCAGTCAATATTGAATGTTACCCACAGTTTCCAAATTCTGTTTAAAAGACGGGATCTATAATGGTATGAAAAATTGCAGAATGAGTTGGCCTTTGTCCCTCAGGGATTGGGACGTTAGACAACCATGCAGTTTCCTTTGGCTGGTCCATAGGCTCATTCTTTCTACTATAACAGGAAAGTTGTGGGAGGGATCTATACCATTCATTCTGACATTAGAAATTATAGGCTAATTACAAAATCCAGTTGTCACTTACTTTGCTATAATCCTTTATAATAAAACTCTAATATGCAAATCGACTGAACGGCAGAACCACTGGTAGAACGACTGGTCACTATGATGTGCACTGATCACCAGAGGGCAGACGCTCAACACAGGAGCTGTCCCCTGGTGGTCAGTGCACTCCCCCAGGGGGAGTGCCACTCAGCCAGAAGCCGGGCTCATGGCTGGCGAGCACAGTGGTGGTTGCAGGAGCCTCTCCTGCCTCCACAGCAGTGCTAAGGAGCAGCTGCAAGCCAAGCAGTAAGGAGCAGCAAGCAGGCGGGCGGTGAGGAGTGAGGGGACCCAGACTATGAGAGGGATCCCAGACTGCAAGAGGGATGTCCCAGACTGTGAGAGGGCACACACCAGGCTGAGGAACCCCACACCCCAGGGCACAAATTTCATGCACCAGGCCTCTAGTTAGGATAATAAAAGTATTCCCCTATTATTGTTTGTATAACAAAATAAAAAAGCAGAGGCTTTTGCCCTAGATTACCTGGGTTCAAATCCTGACACTGTTCAAACCTAGTGTCCAACTTTACTTTGCCACAGTTTCTTCATTTGAAAAATGGGGATAATGATGGTTCATAGTTTTATTGTAAGGAATAACTGTGTTAATACTAAAGGATGATTGGATGTTAGTAATTTTCCTCAGCACAGATATGAATTGTCAGAAATAAAAGGGCACAATAATCGTATTCTACCTTGCTTAAGAATAATTATTATTTATGAAGTTAAATACTACAGTTTTCTACTATGTATGAATGCATTTAAATAAACATCTTTACTGACATCATGCCATACTTGGGAAATCCATGTACATAAAGAAAATCATAGAGCTAAGTAACTATTTCCAAGTGGAACTGTGTATCATTTAAATTACTATATGTGATATATATGAAGACACAAAGGTAGATATTTTTAAAAAGTAAAAATTATGATTTCCCTTACAAATTCAGAAATGCCTAATTGAATTACTAAATAAATAACGTTATAAATAGATGTGTAGTGCCATTTTAATGTAGTGTTTTTTGCAATATAACTAAGTCAATACATTATTTTGTAGCTAAGTTTGCAAAACCATAATGAAATGAGCATGAGGATGCTTAATCATTATTGAGGACTCTTTTCATAAATAATAATAATAATACTGGACTAGAGGTAGATAATTCAAGACACACCTGGGATTTTCCTAAATATTCCTATCTCAGGAGCCTCAGTCTCATATATAAATGAGGATATTTAGTCACTTCTCCTTCTGACATATCTTTTTTTTCTTTTAATTGAATTTATTGGGGTGACATTGGTTAATAAAATTATATAGGTTTTAGGTATACAATTCTATAATACATCATCTGTATATTGTATTGTGTGTTCACCACTCCAAGTCAAGTCTCCTTCCATCACCATTTATCCCCCTTTACATTCTTCTATCTCCAAGTTCTTCTGACATATCTTACTTCTATCTCTCCTCTGCTGCTTTATTATGGTATGATGTTATTAATGATCATCTAACATTCAGACTCTCCTAAACTCATATCTTCACACTGCTATCTTCACTCATTTGTCCTATTTTCTCCTTCAATTTCCTCCAAAAGAGTGCCGTATTCCTAGAATGCCTCTCTCTGATCAACAGGCAGAACAGTCACTAATTAAAGATTCTACCTGGTCCATAAACTTTTCAATTTCACTAAAGTACAATAGGCTATTTTCCTTTATCTCTTCCAGTACTTGATGTGATTTTTGAGTAGCCTAATTCCAATGTTTACCTCAGCTAAGTACTTACATTCATCCAATCCTCTCAGTAAACATATTTTAAATGAACAATTCTGTGGCAAGAATATGACATAAATAATTCACTATTCATTTGCATCTTAAGAATCTTCTGTGTATTCCCTGGTTTTATAAATTTGCCTCATAATTCCTTCTGTTACTTGCATTTTTATGGATCTGGAAGTAAGTTTCAATTAAGCATCTATAAATTCAATTCAGTATAAAGCTTTCTGTAAACACATACTGCAACTCTCACATACCTGCACTATGAGCACAAGACAAAATAAAAAGTAGGGCATTCTCTGCTGTAAGATGTCCATAATTTGATAGAGGAGTAAGATAAGAATACAAGTATTCCTAATGGAGCTGCATAAAAATAGTGATCTACACTAATAAAAGAGAAAGATGCAAATTGACTGTACCTTCATGATGCCCACCAGCCAATCAGGAGTGAGTATTCAAATTAACCCAACAAAGATGGCAGGTTAATTTACATATGCAGGCTCCAAGTGGCCCAGGGCAGTGCGGGATGCCTGCGTCATCGCCATGGTGACGACACAGGCGTTCCGCACTGCCCCAGTCACTCCAGGCCTCTGGGCAGCATGGGAAGGTGGAAAGGTGGCTCTGGGCCGGAACGAAGGCAGTGCCGGCAGCCAGAGGAAGGAAGGCCCATTCTTGCATGAATCTTCGTGCATCAGGCCTCTAGTAGGTAAAATAAATCATTATTCTAATTGTGAGTGAAACCATAAAATATTTTTTTCTGGCACACAAAGCATTCCACTGTATGTGAAGGGTTCCCATTCCTGCTTTAAAACTTTCATTTTAAGACTATAAATGAAAACCTTATAGAAAATTTTAAAGAGAAAAGATATCATCTTTCATCCACTAGCAGACGTTAACCACTAAACACATCATTTATCTTTCCAAAAATATCTTTCCAAAAATTAGCACATACAGTGCATGACAGAGCCTCTTTATTTGCATGGTAGTCATAATAACCCTGACGATAAAGGTAAAATTTAGGTATTTTAATTGATTCCTCTTTCATGAAAAAAAGCGGTCGTTAACAGTAATCACATTGGAATACTAGAGACTTATATATGTTATATGATGTATTCTGTTCAACATCAACAACTTTCCAATTGGTTTTATAACAGTCAAGCAAATGCCTCCAGAAAACTGCTTTCTGGGAGTTAATGTGGGTTAATAGCCTTGGCCCTCTGGTGAGCACCATGCAAGGGTGCCAAGTCAGCCAGTGATTTGCAGTCCAAGCAGCCTGGAGCTGTTGTAACAAAGGGTGCACTTTCTGAGCCAATACTTCTCATCTGCTCAGTTTTAAAAGAGACAGGGCTTCTGAGTCAGTGGGAACCCAAGGGTACAATTCTATATTGGGTTTAAGGCTAAAAGTAGCAATATCAGGAATCCTGGCTTTGTAAACAATATGACTACAGGGACAATTAAAACTTAACTGGTACAATTTAACCTAAAGTGACTATAGCTGGACCAGATCAGATCAGTAGACACTCTGAACCCAGTGTTCAACAGAATGCAAGACTATGACATCATCATTGAATATCTTCCACTCCCATAAAAGATGGAGGAAATAGTCCTCCTCAGGATCTGATTTAACTCTGTTGAACAGAAGAATAGGGCAATTTTACTTGGTGCTTAAATTTAATTCCTTTCTTTTCCTAAGACTCTAGATAATCTGTCTCTACCCTTTCACTTTCTTTTTTCAAAAAAAAAAAAAAGATAATTGATGCCTTTGCAAAGTATTGAAGATGTGATTCTATTCAATTAAGTATATTGAGCACCAACTATATGCCTAGCAATGCAGTAAGCTTTAGAAATATGGTAAAAACTACTGGTACAGGCCTATCCTTACAGTTTACAATATAATGCCAAAAAAGTCTTAAATTTGAAATTCAGTAGGTGGTGATAATTATTACTGCATAAGTAAAGATGTGATCACAAAATAGTTATCCCCCCAATACCATAAATATGGGGAAGTTGCCTTAAATTGGTATTCTGTCATTAATTTAAATATATTTATATCTTACAAATAAAAAAGAAGCTTAAAAGTGATGTGTTATAG